CTGGAATTGGTCTCTCCGGGGCCAATTCTGCACTCTTTAGGCACTGCTTTAACCAACACACTCGAGCTCAGCACACACAGAGCTCCCGCCCTGCAAAGCCCATAACGATGCCATCACGGAGCACAAAGGGATTTAGCACCGGAGCCACCACAGGGTAACACAGCGAGCAGCGGGAGCCGCGAGGTGCCCTGGGGACACGGGGACTCCCGCAAACCCCAAACCCAGAGGAAATCTCCTCATCCCAGCCCAGAGCCCGGCGGAACGAACAAAGCAGGCGGGACTCACTTGTCCAGGATGAAATACAGATCAAAGCCCCCATAGCAGGCAGGACCTCCGTGCTCTCTCCGCCCGCCGTGCCCGTCGCAGGTGAGGGTGCAAACGGCGAGCAAGGCGCACTGCAAACCAAACCTCCAGATGCTCTGCCTTGCAGTGGCCATTATATCCAGAGAGGAGGAGAAAAAGGAAAAATCTCTTCTTCTTCCGAGGCTGCTTTACTTCCCAGGTTTCTCCACAAAAGCCATCCAGCGACCCCCGGAAGGTTTCGGTGTGAATTGTATTCCTGAAAACTCCGCTCGCAACAGCTGTCCGCAGGAATTGCGGGGCTTTCCTTCCCCCTTGTTTCCCTCGCGCCGCTGTTTCTCGGTTTCGGATTTCAAGATGCACAATACTGTATTCCACTTTTTTTCTTTTTAAAGGGGCTCGACCCTCAGCGTCCCCGGCAGCTCTGGGGGAGCAGCACCATTGTTTGCCAGGAGCAGCCTCCTCCTCCTCCTCCTCTTCCTCTCGCTTTGTCACGGGCCTCAGCAAACGCAGGGAGGGCTTGTGGCTTCCCCCCTTCCCTTTAATTATTATTGTTATTATTGAAAACGGCAAGCTCTGCTTTTCCTTGGTGAGAGAAGCTCGGAGAATGCCATCTGGTGGCCACAAAAACTGCAGCACGGAATGGGATCCCAGCCCGGGCTGGGTTAGGACGGACCTAAAGCCCTAAAGCCCATCCCTGCCATGTCAGGGACATTTTCACTGCCCCAGGATGCTCCAAACCCCGTCCAGCCTGGCCTTGGCACTGCCAGGGCAGCCTCAGCTGCTCTGGGAATCCCATCCCAGCCCCTCTCCCAATATTTCTCCCCAAAATCCCAGGGAATCCTGGAATGGTTTGGGTTGGAGGAGACCTCAAAGCCCATCCAGCCCCACCATGGGTCCCACACCTCCCCGTGTCCCAGGCGGCTCCAACCTGGCCTTGGGCACTGCCAGGGATTTCAGCTGCTCTGGGAATTCCATCCCACCCTCACAGGGAGGAATTCCTTCCCAAAACTCCACCTAACCCTGCCCTCAAGGCCATTCTCCCCATCCTGTCACTACATCTTTATTTCCACACAGAGAGAACAGATGTACAAGGACATCTTTGCTCCCCACACAGGCAGAAGAGATGTGCAGGGACACCTTTACTTCCACAGAGACTGAAGAGATATGCAGGGACATTTTTATTTCCATAGACAGAAGAGATGTGCAGAGAAATCTTTGTTCCCCACAGAGGCAGAAGAGATGTGCAGGGACATCTTTATTCCATACAGAGAGAAGAAATGTGCAGGGACAGCTTTATTTGTGCAGGGACATCTTTGCTCTCCACACAGGCAAAAATCTGGATTTAAAGACCTTTAAAACCTTGGGGCAGCTTCTCAGGAAGCCAGGCCAGGCTTCCTGCCCTGCCTTTTCTCACTGCTGAGCGGTGCCCAGCAGCTCCTGTGCTCACCAAAGCCTGCCCCAAATCCCCAAACTCCAAAGCCTGCCCTCCCCCTGTTCCAGGGAAACTCATGGAGAATATAAATCCATTTACACTCACCTCTCCTTCCACAAACAGGGCTCCAGAGCAGGCAGGGCAGCTCACAGGGAGCACCAACCCCACTGATGGAGTCCTTGGTGCCTCCAGCTGAGCTTTTATTGCTGCAGGATCCCAAATTCCCCTCGGGGCACACCAACAGCCCCAATCCCCTAAATGCCAGCACCTGGTGAGCTCAGAGGGGCTGTCAGGGATGCAATGCTCTGTGCCTGGATTTCCAGCCGTGCAACTCGAGGCTGACACTCCGTGGCCAAGAGGATTTCTTTCTTCCCTGGGCTGCTGTAATTGTTCAGAGATTTGAGCAACAGGAATCCCAGCCTTGCTTTGTGTCAGGGACAGAGCAACTCTGTAAATCCCACAAGGGAGACTCCTCTTCCCCTAAAAATGATAAATTCGTTGTTTTTCACTTCTTCCTATCTGCCTTTTGTGCTCCCTAGGTTTTTAATGAGCAGCATCTTTCCCCAGGCAGGGAAGGAATGTCCAAACTGTGAATTCCCTGTTTGTACCACACACACCCTGCTCTCTGGCTCTGCTGGGTTGAAAAGAGCAGTGAAAGGGCAAAAAAAATGGGGCAAAATATTTTCGTGGAGGTGCTCTTAGATGAAAAAAGGGTGGAGTAACGACAAACAGGCAGGAGTTATTCCATGATGAAGGAATTTAATTGCTAGCTCTGCTCACCAACTGATCTGTTCCAGCACCCAATCCTCAGGAAGGAATCTCTTGGAAGAAGAGATGCCAGGGAATGATTCCAGCAGGGCTGGATTCGGGCAGCAGCTCAGGAAAGGCAGGATTTACACAAAGTTATCGTTGTGGCAGTAGGTGAGGGCCAAATACTGGAGGACATCGAGCTTGAGGCACGATCCAAGATTGAATTGGGGTCCTTCAAACACAAGGAGAGAAAACAATCACCATGAGAAAAAGATGCTGTTAGGGGCTCTGTGTGAAGCCCAGACAGAGGTGCTTAGAACCACCCTTTTATTGACTGGGCATTTCAGGGGGGCCAAAACACTCTGAGCCCAAAATTGAACCCCATTAAGCTGCAAGGGTTTGGTCTGGGTCATTTTTGGGGGCTGTGACCCCACCCTGGCCCAGTCCTGATTGCAGAGATGTCAAACCCTTTGTACAACTGCTGAAGGCCCTGGGTACTGTGGGTTCTGAGGTGGAAGAGCAAAAATTGTGCATTGAACAAATGTTCAGAGACAGAATTCCTCTGCTTGCACTCACCATGAACTTCATAGGCCACATAAGTTGAGAGCCCTGTGCACGTGGAGAAGATGTCTGGTCCATAAGATTGCAGGTCACGGATGGCTCTCCTGATGAGGGTGAAGGTGATCTCCTTGCCAGGGGGTCTTGGGTGCCTCTGGTTCTAAACAGCAAACACCAGCACTCAGCAAGATCAGTGCCCTGCTCTGCTTAACTCCAGGCATACTCCCAGTTTTAGTTGTAATTATAATATATAATATATAATATATAATATATAATATATAATATATACTATATAATATATACTATATAATATAAAATATAATATAATATAATATAATAATATAAATTATAATATAATATAATATAATATAATATAATATAATATAATATAATATAATATTATATTATATTATATAATATTATATAATATTATTTAGTATTATTTAATATATAATATAATCAATGCGATAAGAATAATCTAACTGAGCTACAACATTGGCCAAACATGTAAACCCTCCACTTGGAAGCATCTGAGCAAGGATATTCCAATTTTCAAAAGCTGAAAGTTACACTGTTGTAAAATCTCATTGAAATTGATAAAACTATCTAATTAATGGTGTAACAAACCTGGTCATTAAAGTACCTGTTGGTTTTGAAAATAGCGAGGTTTCACTTTGCATTAAGTACAACTTTCTAATAACTGTTCCTTTTCAATCTCACCCTGAGGTCTGCAGCCAGCTGGGGAAGTCCATCAAAGCTGGGCATCTCTGTTCTGTTCATTATGGAAACGTAGCAAGCTCTCTCTGGCAGCACTTTGGTGGCCACAAAACCCTGTAAAATAAAGTTATTGACCACATGGAATTCAATCATCAATAATGGAATTTCATACCTATTAAAAAAAAAAATCCAATTTTTAATGAGTGTTTGAGCTGCTGTGAACAAGCCCCTCCCTGCACTCACTGTGTCATAGTTCCAGATGGTTTTCCAGTACTCATGGTTGGTCTTCTGCTCAATACTTGCCACCAGCCATTTCCTATTGATGGTCATAATTTGGTAGCCTCCACCAATGGAGATTTTCTTGCTTATTTCAGTCTGTTGGTGCTAGAAAAACAAATGAAAGAGCACTTAGGCTTTCAAGTGATTATCTCCCCAAGGCTTTAGAAAAATGAAAGGTTCAAGGAGATCTCTGAAGCAGGGAACAGAGAAAGAGCAGCATTGTGGAATCATTCATTTGTACTCACATTATCAGCAAGGGCTGGAGTCAGGACGAGTCCTAGAAGGACTGCAGTCCAAATCTGAAATGAAAACCAAATACAAAATGTAACTGCAGCTCTGGCTGACAAATCTGGTCATGGGAGTCCTCCTTCTCTTTTCCTAATCTGATGTTCAAGGGTCCTCCTTGGATCCTTTTTCTGCTTTCAACCTGGGATTGGATCAGTGCCCCAAAGGGAAGCACCCTTGCTTTACCCCAGGGGCTGAGCTGCTCCTTGTGGAGGAGCACGATGCCCCCAGAGAAAGCCTCGGTGCTCCAGAGAGGCAGGAGCCCTTCTGAGAGAGAAAGGAATGGGTTTGAATCAAAGTTTCAGTTCATAAGGTAGAAAAGCATGCATACTTACAGAGAGATGCATCCTGACTGCAGAGCTGATGCTGCTGAATGCAGAATAAGTGATGTGAGCCTCCCACCTTTTATTTGTTTTCAGAATTAGGTGTGGAAGGGCTGAATGCTGCAATAAAATTATTTTGTCGTTTGTTTCCCTGCTGCATGTCCTTGATAATTATTTCCTGGTGTAAGCACTTGATCAATATAGGGATTGTGCTGTTGGAAATTTTGATCTGTTGGAGTCTGATGATTATGAGGTAGGAATCTGTTGGTAGGAAAAAAGAATAAATTGGTTTTATTGCCTCCTGCAGCAATGCCACGTGTATGATGTTTCTCCTGCTCAGGCATAACCCCAGTGCCAGAGTGGTGTGAACTTCCATTGTGGTGCTCCTGGGAGCTTTTCTTGATGTTCCAAATTCTGGGGTAGATTAAAGGAGGTAAGGATTTAGCTTTGTGGATTCCCAGCAGTGTTTCTCTCAATAAAGCACTGGCTGCAGCGGCCAGGTTTTGGGGGAGTATTGCCCTTGGAAATCAGATTAAAGGGGAGATGGTTTGTGGGCTCAGAGGGGAGGCTGGGAAGCCCATCTGGGAACCCCAAAGAGCCGTCAGTGCTTTTGTGCCAGGCTGCACATCCAGGCTTTGCCCCAGCCTGGTTTTCACGACTGCTCTGGGAGCTCTGAGAGGCCAACGTGGGAGTGACACTGCTTCTGTCAGGAGTATTGGCTGCCTGACCCAGGCAGGGAACAAGGGACAATCGCTCAGCCCTGACAGCCTGGGAACATGATCTACCTGGATCACAGCCTGGGCGCAACGGGGCCATTGTTACCCATGGGACAGGCCAGGGCGGGAATCTCCTGGCAATGAGGGACAGCCACCTCCTGACCCCATCAACAGCAGAGCCAAGGGGCCCTTTGAGCTGCCCTGCACTGCAGAGGGCTCCTCAAGCCTCTCCTGGGGACTGGGATGTGTCCTGCAGCTCACAAAGCCTCAGGTTTGCAGAACTCAAAATCTGATTTCCTGAAGGCTGGGCTGGGATCCCCCACTCCTGGAGACTCAACCCTCACCCACTGAGAAATGCAAAGGCATTTGACCCCTTCCAGTGAACTCAGGGGAATTTTTAACAGGTCCCTTTGCACACACAGATAGAGATGCAAACAGCTCTGGGCCTGTGTGGGTGCATGAGCAGTGATTAGGGTATGAATGTTGCTATCTAGAATCTATATTTCAGTCTTTGTTATAACTGTAGTAAACACCATTGAATCACCTTGTAAATAAGTCAGTGTTTAAATGCTCTTAAACCCTTTGCACCCTCACCCTTTGCAGCCCTGGGCTCTGTGTGTGCCAT